GCTTTGGCGGCATGCCACGGGTTGGCCACGGATGCGCTACGCTTGCCAGATGTTGTGGTGTGATCGCGCCCTGAAAATCCGCCCAGCATTCGTGGCTCTCCCGCAGCAAATTCGGCGTGTGAACGGGGCCGGAGTCTGTCTTCCACATTTTCTGGCCATTTTCTCCAGGGGAACTGATCTCTGTAACCCGGAGACCAGTTAGGGTTGCCCGCTCCAGGTTGGGAAATACATGGAGTGCGGGGAGGGGGAGGGACTTAAATCAGTGTTCCCTCTAAGCTGAGTCGGTGTGAGCTATCTCACAGTTTTTTAGCCTCCAGCTCTCACATTTTCATCTTCGCTTGGGAAGGACAGGCTCCAGAACAAACGAATTCATGCACTAGCGAAATCGCTTGCTCACAGCTTTCATGCCAGGAGCTCACAAAGTAGAATTTCTGTTCACAAGACTCCGCAGCTTAGAGGGAGCATTGACTTCAATGGGATATGGTGCTCGGGTGTCCAACCTCCAAAGCGACCCTTTTCTCCCAGGGAATGGACCTCTGGAGATTTGTTGTCATTCTGGGAGATCTCCAGCCACCACCTGGAGGCTGGCAACCCTATGCTCATGGGTGTGGTTTTGGTGCAGGCAACACTGCAGGATCCAAAGGGTTAACCTTCCCCTTCCGCCGCTTCCTCTTGGCTCGGCTCGCCTCTAATAAAGGAGTCTCTAATTAGGCTAACAGCCTGCTAATTAAATCAGGAAGCCTCCATAATGTCTGCCCTCTTCTGTGTTTTGGATGCGGCCCAGGGGGCTCTGGTGGTTTCGTGCTGGACGGGTTGACTCCCCCTCCCGAATGGAGGCTCCAACCCTACCGCTGTCTGCAACGCCCACCGCCACCCGTGTCCTCAGACCGTGGCGCGTCTAATTGCACATGGGAGGTTACAGGTTTGAATGCTTCCTCCTGGGGAAGAGGTGAATCCCCGAACCTAGAAAATTAGCTAATTAGGGGAATAGCTACCTGGGGTTACCAACCTCCAGGTGGGGACTGGGGTTCTCCCAGAATGGCAGCTGGTCTCCAGACTGTGGAGCTCAGTTCTCCTGGAGGAAACGGCAGCTTTGTGGCATCACTTGCAGGATGACCTCTCTCGGGCTGCCAACCTCCAGGTGGAACCTGGAGACCACTGTTCGCTCTAAGCTGAGTTCGTGTGAGCTAGCTCACCGTTTTTTAGCCTCCAGCTCACAGATTTTTGTCTTCGCTCAGGAAGGACGGCTGCAGAGCAAACTAATTTGTGCAGCAGCCAAATCGTTCACTCACAACTTTAATGCCAGTAGCTCACAAAGTAGAATTTATGCTCACAAGACTCCACAGCTTAGAGGGAACACTGCTGGAGACCTCCCACTATTACAATTGATCTCCAGGTGACCAAGATCAATTTCCTTGGAGCAGATGGCTGCTTTGGAGGGTGGACTCTTTGACATTACTAGGAAAAAGGCCCATTGTGGAAATAAATACAACAAACTCTAGAAAGAGGCTCTGGGTGGATGCCCCGGCCTTGGACACTCAGTGTCAATTTGCTGTGGCGACCTCAACAGAGTATAATGACACTGAGCCCACCATTTTCTCCAGAGGAACTGATCTCTGCTACCTAAAGAACAGTTGTAATTTTGAGTGATCTCCAGTCCTCACCTGGAGATTGGCAACAATGGTTCCCCAGAGGAAAAATACAGTCTTTCTCTGCATTGGTGACCAAAGCAGCTTACATCATTCTCCTCTCCCCCTTTTGACTGGCACTACATGATTAACCTACCTGTGTCAAAATATTGTAAAATATATTATTGTCATAAATTAGAAAATTTACTAAAGAGCTACCATCTTGTTGCAGTGTTCTCCCCCCTTGTAATCTTAAAAAGGGCAGTGGGCAGTGCTAGACCGTTTGCGGCTCCACATTGCTGCTGAGCAGGGCTTCCTGGGTTAATGAGCGGCCGCTCACATGCATGGCTTAGAACAGGGGTGTCAAACATGCAGCCCGGGGGCCGAATCAGGCCCCTGGAGGGCTTCTATCAGGCCCGCATTGGAACTGGCTGTCTTCTGCTGCTGCGTCATTGTAGGTTTGCAGCTCACAGATACACACCTGAACAGCATACTCAAGACTGCAACAGCACAGACATTTTGATGTAATAATTCAGAGCCAGAGGTGTCAGTTATCAGACACTGTTAAATAAACAAAATACTGCAAGAGTGCTAAGAGTTTTAAGCATGTTTTTATTTTAAGTAAAAAAAAAACACCCTTTGTGTTTGTGTCCTTTATAAAGTTTATATCTCCGTTACCTGGCGTTACATTTTATGGCGCACATGGCCCGGCCCCACAAGGTCTCATTTATGTCAGATCCGGCCCTCATAACCAATGAGTTTGACACCCCTGGCTTAGAGAGAACACGGGACCCCTGGGCTAGGGAGTTTTGCCTGCTAATGGCTGCGTTTTGCTCTTGTCGGTCTCGGCTGCAGGAATAGCAATGTTGACCAGCATCACCGAGGGGCTGCTGTGTTGCCTGATGGGCAAGACGCCCAACGCGGTCAGGCCTCTGGAAAGCATCGAGTCCAGTGATGGCTACAGCTTCGTGGAAGTGAAACCCGGGCGGGTCCTGCGGGTCAAGCACCTGGCTCCAGTTCGCCCAGCGGGGACCGAGGAAGTGCCCCTGCAATCCGGAGCGGTGCACTGCAAGCGGCGGATCACCCTCTACCGCAACGGACAGATGGTCATCGAGAACCTGGGCGATGCCGTGCGCTCGGACATCCTCCACTGCCAGAGCGGCTCTGAACCCAACAGCACGGTGGAAGTGGAAGTCTCAGACGCAAATGGCACGGCCCCGCCCACGGCCAACCCCTCAGGCACCACCGTCAAACGCCGCCGGCGCAAGCCAAAGAAGACGGTCAACATTGACTGCACCAAGTACATTACCAGCTGCAAAGGGACCCACGGCGACGTGGTCCTCTTTTTCATCCATGGCGTGGGAGGCTCTTCGGACATCTGGAAGGAGCAGCTGGACTTCTTCTCCAAGCTGGGCTACGAGGTCGTGGCCCCAGACCTTGCGGGCCATGGGTGCAGCTCGGCTCCCCAGATTGCTGCCGCCTACACATTCTACGCCCTGGCCGAAGACTTGCGCGGCGTGTTCAAGCGCTACGCCAAGAAGAGAAACATCCTCATTGGACACTCGTATGGGTAAGAAGGGAAGGGGTGGGCCCTGGACCAATACAAGTTGCCTCCGGGAAACCACGATGCAGGAAAAGAGAGACATTTTGGCTGTAGTGGTTAGGAGCGCGGACTCTAATCCGGGAGAACCAGGTTTGATTCCCCGCTCCTCCACACGCAGCTGCTGGTGTGACTTTGGGTCAGTCACAAGTTCTTTCAGAGCTGTTCTCTCAAGGGCAGTGTGACTTGACGGCACTTCCCACCACTGTTATGGCTAAGTTTGGTGTAGTGGTTAGGAGCGCAGACTCTAATCCGGGAGAACCGGGTTTGATTCCCCGCTCCTCCACACGCAGCTGCTGGTGTGACTTTGGGTCAGTCACAGGTTCTTTCAGAGCTGTTCTCTCAAGGGCAGTCCTCGAGAGAGCTCTCTCAGCCCCCACCTACCTCCCAGGGTGTCTGTTGTGGGGAGGAGAGGGGAAGGGAAAGGGATCGTAAGCCGCTCTGAGACTCCTTTGGGTAGTGAAGGGCGGGGTAGAAATCCAATCTCTTCTTCTTCTTAACTTCTCTGTATCAGATGTCTGTTAAAGCAGTGTTTCCCACCCTGTGGGTTGGCACCCAACAGTGGGTTGCGAAGATTCTGGAAGCGGGTTGCATTCCAGCCCTCCCTAATGGCCATTCGTGCTCTTTCGACAGCTGTTCAGTATTCTGGAAACTGAGGTTCTGACCCTGGAAACAGTCTCTTCCATGTCATACATTAATTGGTATTTTTTTCTTCACTGCATATGCATGTTGATCGAGTAAAACATGTCCCGATGGTGAGTTTCTTAGACTCTTGGGGGGGATTAGAGGGAGAAACGGAGAAGAAGAAGGCGGTCAAAGGCTGGAATGTCACCTCCAAGGTTGGGTATGTCGGAATGCCACTTGTTTTGGGGTTCATAGTGTGGGAAGCTGTGTCCTTTGTGTGATGTTTGTTGGTTTTGCAAAAACCTCTGTTTAGCCACTGCAGAAAATGAAATGCTATATGGGTTCACAGCTCGCCTAGGGCACCATAAAACCTTGGGTCAGCCTGCCAGAGATGATGTAGTGGTTAGGAGCGCGGACTCTAAGAATGCTAGATGGGTTCACAGCTCGCCTAGGGCACCCAAAAATCTTGGGTCAGCCTGCCAGAGAGCCAGTTTGGTGTAGTGGTGAGTAAAACATGTCCCGATGGTGAGTTTCTTAGACTCTTGGGGGGGATTAGAGGGAGAAACGGAGAAGAAGAAGGCGGTCAAAGGCTGGAATGTCACCTCCAAGGTTGGGTATGTCGGAATGCCACTTGCTTTGGGGTTCATAGTGTGGGAAGCTGTGTCCTTTGTGTGATGTTTGTTGGTTTTGCAAAAACCTCTGTTTAGCCACTGCAGAAAATGGAATGCTAGATGGGTTCACAGCTCGCCTAGGGCACCCAAAAATCTTGGGTCAGCCTGCCAGAGAGCCAGTTTGGTGTAGTGGTTAGGAGCGTGGACTCTAATCTGGGAGAACCAGGTTTGATTCCCCACTCCTCCACATGCAGCTGCTGGTGTGACCTTGGGTCAGTCACAAGTTCTTTCAGAGCTGCTCTCTCTAGGGCAGTTCTCGAAAGAGCTCTCTCAGCCCCTCCTACCTCACAGGGTGTCTGTTGCGAGGAGGGGAAGGAAAAAGAGACTGTGAGCTGCTCTGAGACTCCCTTGGGTAGTGAAGGGCAGGGTATAAATCCAATCTCCTCCTCTTCCTCTTCTTCATGGGTCACCGTACCAAGTAAATTTGGATTTGTGGGCCACCCTGCCAAGAAGGTTGGGAACCGCGATTTAGTCTCCATTGTCTATTTGTTGACTATATTTGCATGCTGCTTTCTCCAGAACCTGTGCAAGGTGGTTTTCTGCGTAAAAATCCAAATCCGACCCCCAGTATCAACCAACGACAATAAAAACAGCCTGCAAGAGCACAGAAAACAACATTTTTAAAAAACCTAAGCTGCTAGAGCTTTCAGTTAAAAAAAAATGGTCAAGAACAGGGTTGCCAGCTCTTGGGTTGGGAAATACCTAGAGATTTTGGGAGTGGCTGGTAGCAATTAACAGTGGACACTTTATGGCCACGTTCAGACTGGCAGTTTTCAGCGTTAGGGAGTCGCGTCAAAGAAGACCTGGAACAGACCCGGAACTGCTTGGTCCCCGTTCATACTGCTGCAAATTAAGCGGGAGGATACCGTGGAGAAGTGCAAGGAAGCATTTGCACTGTCAGACCACCCCTGGTGGGCTGTTAGCAGCTGTTTCTGTGCTCCACTGCATGCGCCTATGTGCTTGGGCGCCTGCTGCGGAAACAGCCAGCGTCTATTATCAACGACTGCGGGTTGTTCCCGCCTTACAGCGCTTGTATTCACACGTCAGGGAACCGGAATCAACCCGCTCTCTACACGGTTTGCTACCACTTCCACCAGGTACTTTTAAAACTCGTGAGGGAAGTGGTACAAGACGGCTTGAGTACGGCTGGGGGACGTCAGACAGCTGTGCCTGTGTGAACCCGCCCCTTTAATCCGCTAGTGAAACGCTCCTGAAATGTCTGGCTGTCGGGCCAAACTGCCAGTCTGAACGCGGCTTATGTGTGGATTTGAGAATCCAGCTAATACATTGTGAAGACCATGGGTTCTGTTATTAGAGTGTCAACATGGAATGTTTCCTTCAAGAGTTGATAAGTAGTAATTGATAAGACCTGGGATTGCTACACACTCAGAGAAAGCAAATATTGTGAAACGAATTGTTTACATTGCGCAGTATTCGTTAGCATGTGAGCGATTATAGAAGGAATTTTTTTTTAAATCCCCCTGAGGGGAGTTTTTTACTGAATTTTTAATAACACTACAAACTACAAAAGAAAATAAGGAAGGGGAAGCTACAACTAGGGAAAAAGGAAAAAAAAACCACTAGTAACTAAAATCCCAAGAATAGGAGATCATAACAACAGCTTGTATAAATGTTATTCTTAATCGCTAATATTACTTTGAACATAGTCGGTTATGCTAAATTATTTGTCTTTTTATCCATCAATTTATCTGTTTAAGATAACCCCAAGAGCATCCAATAATAAAACCAAAGTTTTAGGCACAATTCAGAGTCCTTCACCCTTCATTTTCTTTTATCTTTTCTCATCCTCAACTGATATGCACGTTTGGGTGTAGCCGCCCCCTTATCGGAAGCAGAGTCCTTGTCGGAAGACACAGAGTCCAATTCGCCACTGGATTTGCTGTCATCTTCTTCCTTAGCGATGTCATCTGTCTCTCCCAACTGCAATCTCAGGAACTCACGTGCTTTAAGGACAGAGTCAATCTTCTTTTTTATCGTGTAGTTTGAAAATGACACCTTCTGGAATTAACCACCTGTAGGCAATGCTGTTTGTTTTTAGAAAAAGGATTAAGTCTTTATATTTCTTTCTCTTTTGCCTTATTTCAAATGGGAATTCTTTTAGAATCCTGATGATGTTGTCCCCGATTTTCAAGGGTGTTCCTGTAGTTGCTTTCAGGATTGAATCCCTCACATGCCTTCCAAGTGAAGGGCGGGGTATAAATCCAATCTCTTCTTCTCTTCTACTATTTCCCCAGTCAGAGTCTTCTTCTTGATGTATGAGAAATAGGACCTGTAGACCATATCCATCTCACTGTGAAGATATTCTGCTTTCAAATCTGTAGCTGGGGCTAATGCTTCACTCAGCACTTGCTTCAGATTCTCTCCTTTTAATTCTGGAACCCCTTGGAACATTAGGACCAGATTTGCTTTCTCCATCTGCAGCTGTAAAAGTTGTGATTCTTCTGCAGCTTGTTTAATTTCCAGCTTTTGCACCTTTTTCTTAACTTTTTTGGTGTTGGCGTCCATTTCTTTCACCTTCTCAGTCGTTTGCTCCGTTACTTTTAATGACTCAGTCAATTGGAGCTGCTGAGACACCATACTCTGGCTTGTTGACAACTGTTGCTTGATGTTAGTCATCTCGTCCAGCAGAGGGCGTAAGGAGTCTGCCAACATTTTCGAGAGCTCAGTGGTCTCTTCCGGTCGAGGGCTAGAAACTGGTTTCACTTTTAAAAGTTTGTCCTTGTCTGCTTTCTTCCCCGCCATCTTTATGGATTGTTTACTTTAAAATTTGCCAAAGTCTCTGAAATTCGCCCACGCTCTGGTAAGTCTCTCAAAACAGATTTTAATGCTTTTTTCTTCTGCTCCCCCCCTTTAATCGTGCTTTTGTTTGTGCCTTTGGGAGGGAGCCCTCCCCCGCTCGCTTTTCGTCGCTCCATGGGGGGGGGGATGGCTTTCTTTTTAAATTCTCATTTTTGCTTTAACCCGACTCACAGTTCATTTTGGCCGTTCGGCCCGCTCGGAATCCATTTAATTCGCTCGATCTCCGACGCTTGTCCCAGTCAGCGGCTCTGGATCCATTCGGACACACAGCGGCAGGACTGTCAGGGCAGAGGAGCGCCTCAATTCTCTGACATCGAGCCGGCGAAGAGGTCGCCCCTCAAAAGCCCCATGGCTAGGAGCCTTTTGGCAAGGCTCTGGGGGGGGTTGTGACTCGTCCCCCCCCATCTGCTGGTGCACAGATCACATCCCTGGGAGGTCCGGGAGATGCGTCCGCCAGCGTGTCGCCATAGACCGGAAGTTATAGAAGGAAATTTTCGACAGCATTACTACAGGAAATGTTTTTGCAACTTATGTTTATTGACGTGCAACTTATGTTGACTCTTCATTATTTTTGTCATGGATGTCGCTTTTGACGTTCTACTTCCTCCCGTGATCTCTCGTTTTTGGCTGCCACCTGGAGGTGGCAACCCCAGTCGAGAAGTATCAAACAGGCCCCTGCCTCAAGGAGCTTACAGTCTAACATTTGACATACCGGCTGGAAGACAGAGTCCCCTTTAAACAAGGCAGGAATCTACCCCCCTCTCTCTGTTCTCCTGAGGTGACCCCCCTAAGGTTGTCTTTCTTCGTCAGTTGCATACCTTCTCCCCCCACTCTCTGCAGGGTCTCCTTCTGCACCTTCCTGGCCCACGAGTACCCCGACCTGGTCCACAAGGTCATCATGATCAACGGCGGGGGGCCGACAGCTCTGGAGCCCAGCCTCTGCTCCATCTTCAACATGCCCACCTGTGTCCTCCGCTGCCTCACGCCCTGTCTGGCCTGGAGCTTTCTCAAGTGAGTAACCGAGACCTTGGGGGGGCTCAGGGTGGCCAACTCTGGCTAGGGAAATTCCTGGAGGTTTTGGGGGGTGGAGCCTGGAGAGGCACCGGGGTGTGTTTGGTGCCGTGCAGTCCACCCTCTGAAGCGGCCATTTTCTCCCAGGGAACCGATCTCTGTCGGCTGGAGATCAGTTGTGATCTGAGGAGATCTCCAGCCTCCAAGTGCCATAGAAGGCAGCATGGCATAGCATGTCCTCACCAGATCTTGGAAACTGAGCAAAGCCTGTCCTTGGCTGGGAGACTGCTAAGGAAAGGCTCTGCAGGGGCAGGCAACCGACATACCGCCAATGCCATTCACTTGCCTTGAAAGCTCCTTGCTGGGGTCGCCAAAAGTTGCTTGCAACTTGACGACCAGGGGTCATTTCCTGCAGGAGTGCACAGGAGTGGAGCTCCGGCGGTAAGGAGCCCAGGGGGCGGGCACAGGCAACAAGCCCCACCCCCTGCTCCCAACAGCCCTCAGTCAGAGCAAGAAGCAGCCAGATAAGTTGCAGAGCTCCCCCCGGCCCCCCAGCCCAAAACAGTCCAGTGGCACCTTTAAGACCAAGTTTTATTCAGGTACAAGCTCTCCCTCCTCTGTTCCCCCCCAATAGCTAGCAATCCAAAACAGTCCAGTGGAGCCTGAGTGGTGGGAGTTGCCTTCTGATACACTTCTGGTGATGTCAGGAGGTGTATTATATGCAAATAAGTTATGCTAATGAGCTCCTGCACCTCTTTTTCTACGAAATGACCCCTGTTGACGAAACACGTAATGCTTCTCTTCCACCGCAGAAGGAAGGGTGATTCTGCATCTAGCATCCGCTCCACATTTTCTCATGGTTATCTCCAGGTCCCACCTAGAGGTTATAACACCAAAGAAGCAAAAGCAGTTGTGACCAAAATACGAATGTTGTTTCAATTCTACACAATAAATGTAAAATCTGAACAAGAGTCTCCTCAAGGTCCACTAGGAGCAAAATGGGTGTTCCAAGTTGTCTCCACGTCGCCGGGACCATTGATTTTTCTACTGAATGCTCGACAGAACATGAATTTTTGAAAATGATACCTCAAATTGTCTGAAAAGTATTAGTCACTGAGATGGCGAGAAGTTATTTTCTTTTGGGACTTTTTCCAACATGTATCAGCATACCTTTGGATTGGGACAGTAATGTGATTGTGTGACTTTATAAAAACCTATTTTGTGCAGGAATCATTCAGATTTGAAATTTATTGAGTATAATTGAAACAACGTTAGTAATCTGGTCACAAATGCTTTTGCTTCTTTGGTGTTATACTTTTTTCATGACTTTCTCCCCACCTAGAGGAGAAACGAAGGCTGAGGGGTGACATGATCGAGGTTTATAAGATTATGCATGGGATAGAGCGGGTGGAGAAAGAAGTCCTTTTCTCTCTTTCTCACAATACAAGAACTCGTGGGCACTGCATGAAATTGCTGAGCAGCTGGGTTAGAATGGATAAAAGGAAGTCCTTCTTCGCCCAAAGAGTGATGGACACATGGAATTCACTGCCGCAGGAGGTGGCGGCGGCTACAAGCATGGACGTCTCCAAGAGGAAATTGGATAAATATATGGAGCAGAGGTCCATCAGTGGCTATTAGCCACAAGACAGGAAGGCCTGGCGGGATCTGGTCCATGGGGTCGCACAGAGTTGGACTCGACTGTGCGACTGAACAACAACAAATAGATAGGAATTCACAGGCTGGGGCAGGTAATGCACTGTATTCTTGGTGCTTGGGGGGGGGGGCGGAACAGGGGGAGGGCCAGCCAGGGATGCTCTGTATTCTTGGTGCTTGGGGGGGGGGTCAACAGTGGGAGGGCTCCTAGTCTCCTGGCCCCACTGCTGGACCTCCTGATGGCACCTGTTATTTTTGGCCACTGTGTGACAGAGTGTTGGACTGGCTGGGCCATTGGCCTGATCCAACATTGACTTCTCTTACGTTCATGTTGGTAACTCTGGGGGGGGGGGCAAAGGAAGCATTGTTGGGGGACCGGACAGGCAGAGGAGGAAGCAGGCGGTCAGCTGGTGCTGATTCCCGATCTTCTTTCCTCATGGACTGCACGCGGAGTGCACTGATAGAAAGGCTCTACTATTCTGCATGCATCCCCTTTCCTTCTCCACCTCCCAGGCAGGACTTGGTATTTGCATGTAGAATGTCCCGAATGAGTCCTCCACATCTTTAGGGTGGGGGGTCAACAAGAAGATGCTAGGGAACTGACGAAGCAATGGATCACACAGCTAGAGGGGATTCCCAATGTTACGGTCGAGAGGGAAGGTGGGAGGGATCGCCAGCTCCGTGTTGGGAAATACCTGGAGAAGTTGGGGGTGGAGCCCGAAGAGGGCAGGGTTTGGGGGAGTACAGTGCCACAGGGTCCACCCTCCAAAGCATCCATTTCCTCTCCAGGTGAGCTGACCCCTGTCGGTGGGAGATCAGTTGTAATTCTTAGGAGATCTCCAGCCACCACCTGAAGGCTCCAGCCACAAATGGACCACAGTGACTCAACCAAGGCTGCACCTTGCCAATGTTCACTGTGGAAAAATTGATTCAGGTCCAATTACAGTCCACAGATCATCATCATCATCATCATCATCTTCTTCTTCTTCTTCTTCTACTTCTTCTTCTTCTTCTTCTTCTACTTCTTCTTCTTCTTCTTCTTCTACTTCTTCTTCTTCTTCTTCTTCTACTTCTTCTTCTTCTTCTTCTTCTACTTCTTCTTCTTCTTCTTCTTCTACTTCTTCTTCTTCTTCTTCTTCTACTTCTTCTTCTTCTTCTTCTTCTACTTCTTCTTCTTCTTCTTCTTTCTTTATTTTACGCCATGCAGTGCTGCTGCTGCTTCCAACAGTTGTCAAGCAGTCAGGGGTCATCTTGTAGAAAAAGAGGTGCCGGAGCTCATTAGCATAACTCATTAGCATAACTCATTTGCATAGGCGGAAGTGTGTCAGAAGGCAACACCCACCGCTCAGGCTCCACTGGACTGTTTTGGATTGCTAGATGTTGGGGGGGGGACGTGCAGATCTGTCCTCACAGAGGAGGGAGAGCTTGTACCTGAATAAAACTTGGCCTTGAAGGTGCCACTGGACTGTCGGGGGCTGCTCTGCAACTTACCTGGCTGCTTCTTGCTCTGACTGAGGGCTGCTGGGAGCAGGGGGTGGGGCTTGTTGCATGTGGCTTCGTCAGGTCGCCTTATACTTGGAGCCCATGCTCTACATCTCCTACTCAGAATCAATCTTATATTCTCTCGGCATCTAGAAGATCGATTCTGAGTAGGAGACGTAGAGCACGGGCTCCAAGTATAAGGCGACCTGACGAAGCATTGAGGGAAACGGATTGTTGACCTGGGAAATCTGTAGTCGCATGGCAATGGTTGGAAGCAGCGGCAGCAGAACTGCATGACGTCAAATAAAGAAACAAAGAGAAGCTGCAGCAAATCTGTGGACTGCAATTGGACTTGAATCAATTTTTTCACAGTGAACCTTGGTGGAGTACCAGCTGGAGGCTGGCAACCAGATCTTGGAAGCTGAGCACGGTCTGTATTCAGCCGGGAGACTGCTACGGAAAGACTCTGCAGGGGCAGGCAATGACAATCCGCCTCTGCGGTTCACTTGCCTTGAAAACCCCTTGCTGGGGCCGCCACAAGTCGCTTGTCTCTCTTCCACATCAGAAGGAAGAGGGGGCAATTTTTTTAAAAAAATATATATATCCAAAATCCAGGGAGGAATGTGAAGCACCCTAGCCTGAGTTTGTAATTCCAGGTTGCCCCACTTAACCTCTGGGCTTCCCGCGTCCTCCTCTGCAGGGCCGGCTTTGCTCGCCAAGGGGCCAAGGAGAAGCAGCTGCTGAAGGAAGGGCACGCCTTCAACGTCTCGTCCTTCGTCCTGAGAGCCATGATGAGCGGCCAGTACTGGCCCGAGGGAGACGAGGTCTACCATGCCGAGCTCACGGTGCCGGTCCTGCTGGTGCACGGGATGCACGACAAGTTCGTTCCCATCGAGGAGGACCAGCGGATGGCTGAGGTACGGCTTGCAAACGGGGCCGTGTCGCCCACAGAGCACAGCTAACGGCTGCTGCCAACATCCATTCACAAGAGGGGCTCTTCTGGTAGACAAAATCTAGATTACTACGCGGTGTCCTTCCATTGCTTTCCAGTGCAGAGCCGTTCAAATAACTATCATTGAGCTTGGAACAGTGCAGTGGGGGTCCACGGGTCAGGCATCACTAAAACAGAAGGTGTAAATGCTCTACTGGAGCTGCGGTGGCTCAAGTGGTTAAGACGCTGAACTACAGGCTGTGGAAGGTCGGTAGTTCGGCAGTTCAAGACCCGAGAGGTGCCGCATGACGGAGTGAGCTCCCGTCTCTAGTTCCAGCTCCTGCCAACCTAGCAGTTCGAAAGCAAGGAATTGCAAGTAGATAAATAGGTACCGCTTCAGTGGGAAGGGAACAGCGTTCCGTGCGCCTTGGTGTTTAGTCATGCCGGCCACATGACCACGGAAACGTCTTCGGACAGCGCTGGCTCTTCGGCTTTGAAACGGAGATGAGCACCGCAACCCTAGAGTCGGACTCGACTGGCTTTCGAGCAAGGGAACATTTACCTTTACCTAAATGCTGTACTGGGGAGGGAAGGCACAAAACCAAAACAGGACCCACGGTAAGTAGGAAATACCAAAAATCAGCAAATACCGTGCTACTGACAATTACATAGTATCTCAAGTAATTTTATATATTTATTCGTTTTTATATATTTTTAACAAGGTTGCCAAATACCAAGATATTATCCAAATTTCACCAATGAACGCTGCAAAAAGTCTCTCTTTTCACTTTGGAGGAAGCCTTGAGCTCACTAAGAGAGACTTTTTGCAGCGTTCCTGAGTGAAATTTGGATAAATACCTTGGTATTTGGCAACCTTGTGCTTGGAAATATCTGTTGAACTCCCTGAGGAAGACCCTGAAGCAGGAGGATATCTGGACCTCTGTGGGAGGAAAAATGAGCACTAATTCAAAACAGACTTAAAGGAGCCCTCCTTCTTAAAACTTTTGTACAGTTAAGAAGGACTGGTAATAATAAAGGGGTTGTGCAATATCTTTTGTTTATATAAAAAGACGATACTAAAATTTTGGATATATGATTCCTTCTATGTGATAACGTTTATGTGACAATTAATATAATGGTGAATAGTTTATAAGAAAAAATTTAAAATATATTAAAATATATAAAACCGAA